GGGAATGACCTTAGATGCCAAGCTGAGATGGAAAGAACACGTGAAGAACAAAAGGACAGAAATAGATTCAAGGTATAGACATCTATACTGGTTGATTGGACGTGGCTCCAACCTTGCTATACAAAGTAAAATATTATTCCATAGACAAGTCATAAAGCCTATTTGGACATGTGGTATTCAAGTATGGGGCTGTACCAAACACACCAATATCCAAATCATACAAACACTCGAAAATAAAACCTTACGTAACATGGTCAATGCACCTTGGTACATAATGAATAAGGACTTATTATTATTGTAAAATTAATGGTTGGTCTAATAAAAACAGTTTAAACAGTTTAATAAATAAATTTAATACAAAAAAAATATATATAGTGCATTCTATTATATTAGTATCACTTTGATGAAATATCCTCGATCCCTGAAATACATTATATTCTAAAATAAGTTCGTGGCCGATTTTTTAAAAAGATTTGTGTATGACGAGGATTAGAATTGCACAGTTCATTCTCGGAAAATTGCCCCTTCCCGCTGATTTATTACTATTTCTCTCCATCTAAAACCATCGCCGGAAGACAAGTTAGGTGGCTCCTCCTTCGGGAAATTGTCTCACCGAAACTAATCTAACCGTAACCAAGGAATCTGATTTATTCGACATCCAATTTTGAGCTTCTGTGGTGTCGTAGATGGTTTCAATACTATTCAAAAACTCGTGGAAAAAAAAATTGAAGTTTATTCCTACGGATTTGATCCAAATAACGGAAATTTTTTGGCCAAGAGCTCGCCAAGGATACACTCTTCTTACAAACAGAAAATAGTAGAATAACTTTCAGCGATGGCTCACCGATGGTCTGAAAGACAAGGAAGGATCCTGCTCACTCGTTTAAACACAAACCATACCTGACTGACACACGGACACCTACTTTTCTGGCAAACCCCGCGCTGGTGTCCCAATCGTAGAGAAAACTGCTTAGGTCACACTTGATCGAGGAGTGCTTTGTCCTATTACAGGGAGCGCGTAGCCGATATGAAGACAGTCCTTGAGGACGGGAGTGTATCGATGTCTCAATAGCTCAAGTGGTAGAGTGGTGAGTAGTAGCGTATTTAGACAAAGGTCGTGGGTTCGAATCCCGCTCGTGACACTAACTTTTTCATTTCAACCAATACCTTACATAAAGAATAATAATAACTTTGTTTATTGATTTTAGAAATCCTAACATTGTTAGAAAATTGTATGTAATAACAGTACGTGATTAAATCGGTTGACTTTACTCGTTGGGCGTAGCCAAATTTTATTTTTACATTTAAATAAAGAAAATCCTTTCATAAAGACGATTTAACTTCCAACTACCTGTTACTAGGTGTCAAATTATTTTACTATATATTTTTCGTACTATAATCCATTAAAAAAAGATGGGTTCTGACTGGATTCGAACCCAGAACCGCTAGCGTAGTAAATACGAGTCGGACAAACTGATCACTCGGCCACCGCAGTCCCACAAATACACGAAGCACATAGTAGTAAAAACTTCAAAAACGATTTTTTTTCGCCATGGGCCAATATGTAATAGGTAAACTTTAGAGGTTATTATTTAAACTAGGCGAGGTTTAAATTATCAGAAAAGGGTGTATTGAAGTAGAGACCAAAGAGTATTGTGTTACGTACTTTACAATCTCTGTAGAAAAAGTAAGGAATATATACTGAAAATCGCAGATAAAAATAATTAAGGAAACCCCTCAAACACTGAAACGTCAGAGCTACGCTAATTGGACGAGCTACTCGATGAAGCCGAAGTTCGAACAGAAGATTTAAAAAAAATATATTTGTACTGATTTTTCATTCTTTTTAACGGTTTTATTTTACATTAAATTTGTGTTCTAATTAGTTACGCGTGGTGTTTAGTGACCGTTAGTTAATGATAATTTGGAGATCGTGAGATGTGGTCTGGTGTGACGTTGATTTTAGAAAAGCATTTCCTTTATCGTGCCAACGTTTCGAACGTTTCACATCCTACATGTATTTGTATAATTTAAACAATGTTTATAAATCCCAGGCCCTGAAGATGATCTCAATAAAAATCGAAACGTCGGCACGATATATAAAATGTTTTTCTAAAACCTACGTCACACCAGACCGCATCTCACTCTCCAAATTATCTAATTAGTTAATTCATCCTAATAAAAGCATGGGAAAGAAATCGTGAAAAAGTCTAGTTTTGTAAAAGATCTTCACTTCTTCTTCTCAAGGTTCAGGGCGTTGTTGGCTAAATTATTATAATTGGACTCTTGTTGCTTGTTTTTCCCTAGTAAATATCTCGGAGCGTTGACCTACCGGTTGTCAAGGCCTTGCATCAGGGGGTACACAGTTTATCATCTTAGAATAGGCAACATTGTTCTCTTGACAACAAGACCATGTGCCAATATCAACAAAATCCTTTGACATCCGTAAATTCCAAATGACACAGTAGAATATAGTCCAAGAATATATTGTGATATAATGTAATGATTAGGTCTGTGAAATATATTCATTTGCACATTTTTCCTGGTGAACTAAAACATCCAGTTTTAACAAACTGTATGTTTTGAATCATTTGGAATCAATTTAAGCTATATTTATTTTGCATGTTTGTGCATATATTGCCGTAAATGCATATTTTTCATAAGTGGGTTATAATTGCATATTTGTTTACATATCCGGCATATCGGTATTTGGCACGTCAAATTTTAATGTTTCTGAGCAGGCAAAAAGAATAATTCTCCGAAAAAGAGCTACGGGCTCCTCCCAGTCTTCCGTTTCCACATAATGAACGAGTTTGTGTTTGTTCAGTTGCTGCTCCACCGCTTTCCGCAAACTTTCGGTCGCCTTTGCTTCTCTTGGAATAAATGGAGAAAGGAATAGTGTTTGTACCACTGTAACTGTTCTCTTGGAATAGTTTAATTGGATTCATAGAAATATTACGACCTCAGTTCTCTTCTTTCCCCATCATCATACTTCTCAGTTTTACCCAGTCTCTCATGCGTTTTCCAACCTGAAACATTATTTGTGTGTTGTGAACTGAATACTCCTAAAATGCCGAAAGTCACCGCAAAGACGAAATATCTTGTTCAAAAGTATGTGCGTGAGTTTTCAAGTGGGACTTTTAAGGGCTATGTAGGCATTTTATACTGTTTTTGTTTGGATAAACCTATATCAACAGCTACACGTTTTTTGGTAACACAGCACATAAAGACAACAAAACACATGGAAAACAAAGGTAGGAATTCTAAGTTTCAACAAACCTTTGTGACACAAGCTGCCACAAGAGCTGTGTCTGGAAAGTCCGGTTCGATACCGATTTATGTCGTGATTTAGTTAGAGCGGACATACCCATCCATAAACTGAGCCACCCTGAATTCCAGGGTAATGTGTTGGAAGAAGGGGCTATCCTTAATTGGCAGCAACACTCCTTACCTTTGCTAGTTCGCCGGAACCTGTCCCTTCACGTTGACTCCCTGACAATCAGGAACGATATGAAGAAATATAGATTAAATTAAACTAAATTAAATTAATATGATATACATACATTGGGCGATAAAGTTAATTTAATTTACATAAGTTGAACAACAAAGTGACCTGGCCAGGGTCAAAATAGATTAAAGAGAATAGTGACAGACTTATTACAGAAAATTAATCAAACTATACAAGAAACTTGTTTTTAAATGTTTTTCACAGTACTTAACAATTATGAGAACAAACACTTCAGATTAAAGTCTTATTAGAAGACGTGAGCAGCCGAAAGGAAAATTCTGACCTGTGAACAGCAAAATGATGTGCGATGAAGAATTGCAGGCGACGTGATTCCACAACGATGAGCGGGCGAAAAGAAAACAAATCACTTCGTAATACGGCGGGTACTCGTAAATTGTAACTTCGATTACAAATCGAGAACAAAAAGAATTAGACAAACGCGTTCATCCACTCTCCAATACTAGCTGGCCAGCTGGACCCCGAGACCTTTTTTTTGTTTTTCGTCTCCATGGATATTTGAACAAATAAACAAATTTAAAAAAAATGAATAAAATTCTCTCCGGCGTAAACATACCGCCCTTTGAAACGGGACGTGCCATTCCCACGAAAGCACCCTCAGGAAATCTCACCTGGATCTTATATACAACGAAACACTCCATCAAATCAGAGACTTTATCGAAAATGGACTGATCTGGGTCTCGATGGATGAGACGGCGGATTTTTTAAATTTAACTTTTTTTTCAATGCGTTTTTCTTTTTTAATAGCTATGTCATGTTCCTCTTGCCACCGTTTCTCTTTTCAACACAATTATGTGCTTAATTTAATGTTTCCTTATTCTTTCTCATGGTAGTTTTCGCATATTTTCAGTTTTAAATTGCATGTTTTACCAAATATATTTACATATATATGTGCATATTTGTCTGTTTTTATTGTGTATAAATCACAGTCCTAGTGATGATCTGTTAATAGACTTGTTGCTTGATAGTCCCCTTTGTCGTGGTTTTTCTTTTCGTAATGATTTGTGCGCGTTCTTCCTTTCTGTATTTTAGCTGGTTGCCATAACTTTGTAATTTTTTGACCAATTTAAAATCCGATTGCACCATTATTTTCAGCTTAAAAATCCTTTAAAATGATGTGTCAGGATTTATAGGGTCGTATTTGAAATTTTGAAGTTGAACTGGGCTTGAGATAACCTGTATAATTTGTGTCCAAAAAAGGCAAAAATTTGAAACTAGACTAAGGAATATTATACATGTCTTTTTTGTTTTTTAAGTGTGTAAAACGAACACCCTGTATAGTTTGCTTATAAAATATACATACGTCTAAAATGAAAACTTGTTGAAAAATCGCTATGTCAAGAAAGATTTTTGTTTTCGACCGCAGAATCTACAGCACTGTAGAATTGAGCTGAATATCAAATTGCACAACGCAAATCACAAGTTCAACAAAGATTAAGACGTTGATATTTTAATGTGTGTGTGTAAATTCTCGACACGGAGAGTCGAAAGTTTTCTCATCTGGAGACCACGCGGGATGGAGATGAAATTTTAAAAAAGCATCATTTAATAAGGCAAGTGAGGGCATTTGTACATTAGGCCCTCCCATTAAGGTAAAAGAGCTTAATCTATCTTAAGTTTAAACAGTATGTACCCGACCTCTAACGACACATCCTTGGAGACATTTTAGCCTCCATTTACATTGATCTACAATCCACATGCATAATTCTATAAGTTATATAACGCCTAATAGATACATCCTAAGCTAAAAAATTAGGCTTGGCAAAAGTGAAAACACGTTTCGGAATAACATAGCAACGCAAGAGAGAATAAACAAATCGTGAATATGGCGGCATGTTTCTATCTCTGCGTTACCCATCTTTAGATGCACCTAGTTGTAGTTCTGGTCCAAAGGGTGAGAATAGGGGTTGCCCTATTTTTATTCGTTGCCAGTTTGTTCATTTCCTGTTATATCTTCATGACCAGGAACCCATTTTAAGATAATTTTGTTGTGTTTTCCTAGAGACATTAGGCAATTTAGGCACTCCCAGGCAAGTTTGGAGATGAAAGCACGCGCATTTTGTACCTTTATAGCTGCCTGACTGTCTGAGAGTATGTCCGTGTGTGCACCTTCCACATTTATCTTTGCTACTTACTGTGCAGAGAGTTGTATAGCATGGACGATTTACCCACTTAATCTAGCGTTCTAGTCAAGTTATACAGTGGCATTTAGGGTGGGCTTACTATCTCTGGTCTGTGGAGTGAGATACAACTTCTTTTGTGTGTTTCTTATCCAGTTTTTAGATATTTTGTAACTCATTGCTTCTTCTTCTTTTAGGTACTCCCCGATCTTGGTATCGGTGATCAAATCAACTGCTATTCTGGCTCCTATTGGTCATCTAATCTCAAGGCTTGGATCATATCCTGTCACTTCTTTGAAGACATAATATGTCAGCCCTTCCTTTTGATGCTATATGAACTCTGCCTAGCTGTTTGATAAACGGTAGTAAAAAGGAGATCTGTGCACCAATCAGATTGGTGTATTGTAATCAAATAGTCTTAGGACTTAAAAGATTGTGGAGAGGTGTTGGACATGTCAAAAACTGTATGTGCCGATGTCTCTGGCTCCTCCTGACAGAGTCGGCATGTTTCTGTCTCTGCTTTTCCTTTCTTCTTTAGGAGGGTATCGGGGAGAGACCGATTTAGAGGCCTATAATTCTTCTCAAACATAAACACACACTCCGTTGTACCTAGTTGTGGTTCTGCTCTTAAGGGCGAGATGAGGGTTGCCCTTTTTTTCTCCCTCTTTTTTTTCTGTTCATTTCCTCTTACATCTTCATGACCATTTTAAATTAATTTTGCTATGTTTTCCTAGAGACATTAGACAAGTTTGGAGTTGAAAGCATACGCATTTAGTGCCTAACTGTATGAAAGTATGTCCATCTGTACACCCTTCACATTTTTCTTTATTACCATTAGAGTTGTATAGATGGACCTCAGCTTGGAAAATTGTTAGTGTAAAATGTTCTACTATGGTATAATTCGGAAAATTTGCCCCTACACCTACTCCCCGTTTCATCTTCTATCCATTTGGTACCACATTAAGAAGACCCGTTCATGAAACTTGGGGCTACCTTTCTTCCAAAAGTCTCTATTATCTACGACCACTTGGAATGATCTGTCAAAGTTACGTTTTTCTTTAATTTTGTCAGGTACCGTTATAGCCATTTCATTTATTTTAATTCTGCCCAGAATTTTGTGTTGGCTCCTCCTTAGATCTGGCATTATTTTCTTGTATCTCAGGAGTCTGTTGGCACTCTCCAAAGCCACTTTTTGTACATAAATTTGTACGAGTCGAAGGTCGAGTGCGGTTTCTATTGCTGGTGGGGCAGATATGCGTTGCCTGTAATTTCTTTGTAGACTTTTTAGCTTGGTCTGCGTTTCCTTGGTCAGTGTTTTTGACTTACTTGAGCTCCGTAAGTTGGCTGGGTCTGACCATTATGTGTATAAACGGTTCGCCATCCTGGGGTGGTTTCCCAGTTTTTACTGCATAAAGTCTGGCCAAAGCTTAGTAGAGCCTTGGCTTTATGCATAATGTTGCCTACGGATTTCCTCAATTTGAGCCTTTGGACAAGAGTTTTGCCTAGATACTTTGTTTCTTTGAAAAGAGTTAAGTCTTCATCTTTTATAGTAAGTGCTTTTAGATTGAGCTTCCTTCTTCTTGTAAAAGGTATGAGATATGTTTTCTAGAGTTTATGTTTAAACCCATTTTCTCACACCATCGTACTACAATACTTAGGGCGTTTTATTTCTGATTTGACAGAGTGTCATCAGAAATTCCTCGTTTAAGATTGTTACCACGTCATCTGTGTAATCTATCGTATGATATCCTAATCAGATCCAAATGAAACATAAAGGACAATTTTATTTTATTATTATATAGAGTATCTTATATTATATACGTACAAACATTAACAAAAATTAAAAAATAACCCTCGGACAATTGATTTATTACACATACTTTGACATTATACGATTTGTCGATTGATTATAGTGTAGCTTAAACATTCAACAACATTAATGGACTACGTTTTGTGAAAAGCGATAACTCGGCCGAAAACATGCCGGAAACCAAAACTAAAACACATACGACTAAATTTTATGTACAACAACTAATGCGTAAAACTCGTAGGGTAAAGTACTTGTCACAGTAAGGTAAAGGTCCGTGGTTCAAATCCAGAGGCCCTCCATTCGAACCCGACATACTTACAAATGTGCTTTTTAACTAATGTTAACATCTTAGGGTCACTGACCTAGCCCAAAAACAATTCGGTTACATTGATCTCAACCCCCTTGACACCGTTGAAAATAGTAGTAAGTTTAAGTTTAAAATTGTGCATAACTTAACAATACAAGATACATACCGTTGCAATTAATTATGTGTTATTTATTTAAATATTTTATTTTAACTCTTCTTATGCATAGCATATTTAACTAATGATTTTACAATTTAAATCGCAATTATTATAAATACGTACAAAACTGACATGAATGCAATAAATATATTATAATTAATTAAGGTTTTTAGTTGAGATAAAAAAGTCAATGGCACGAGCTGGATTCGAACCCACGATCTTTGGCTAGATACGCCGCTGCTCTACCACTTGAGGCCTTGAGCTATCGTGACCTCGATCCACTCGGACCCTAACTTCCCATCTCAACCTCACCTTTTGAAAAATGGCAAAAAGGAGGGAAAATTCAAAAGGTGGGGTTGAGATGAGAAGTTAGGGTCCGAGTGGATCGAGGTCACGATAGCTCAAGTGGTAGAGCAGCGGCGTATCTAGCCTAAGATCGTGGGTTCGAATCCCGCTCGTGCCATTGACTTTATTATCTCAACTAAAAACCTTAATAAATTGTAATATATTAATTGGTCAATCGGACCACGAAATTAGTGAATTGAATGAATGCAATAAATAAATTTATATGTTTTGTATTTGCATACTCAGATTCTATTTAAATCGTGATAGAAGAAAAAACCAAAGTTTATTTTCTGATATAATATTAAATATTATTATAATATTTATATGTTATATTCATATATTACAATATTTATTAATATAAATCATTCATTATTTTGAGAGGGTTGTTTATGCAACTGAATATAAACCAGATGGTTCTTTTACATAAATTCATGTCTGTGTGAGGGGGGTACATTTAATAAATTAATGAACACATGAGTGAGTGAATAGGGTGATGTATTTAATTAACATATGAAAGATCCAACGAGATAAGAGAATGTAAACAGAGATTAATTTATCTTTTCATTCCCACTGGGGAAAATCGATTCCTGGGAGACAATTTATTCTTTGTTTAAGTTGATTTCTTAGTTATGTAGGGCAATGTGATGTATCAGATTTCCTTTTGAACCGTTCCAATTAAGAAATTTCAACACAAAAACACCCCATCGCAGAAACATTCAACCTAAGGATAGAACCGACAATTCTGTGCACGTGACGTTTAATTTCCTCCTGCTCGAAATGCTTGATCAAGGTAGATTTAGGTAATCAAGGCGTAGATCAATGAGACATGTTATCAGCCTATGCTCTTCTATGTTTTGTTCAAAAAGCTTTTATTTTTGTCTTTTTGATAGCTTAACAAGTTTTACAATACGAACAGCGAGAATATTTAGGCCTGAGATGACTACAATACCATCTGACCTGTCTAAGAAAAGTTTTTATTATTGTTCCTTAACAATTGAAAATACCCTGTGAAAAATGTTTTTATTAATTTCTAAGAAAATGCATTCTAGCATTAATTACCTAATTATTAATCATAAATGAATATTATTTTTCAAAATAGATCAAATGTGAAAAAAAGGCGAGGCTGTTTTTTGGGCTTGTTTATATTCATAAGAACGACACCAACAGCGAAAATAAGCGGACCCAGAGATTATCATACTATTGATTCAACTCCCTGTACGCTAAGGCAAACTTGGCAACTTAATTATAATTGCTGCCCTTGTCCGGGTCTAATAGATCACAATGTATGCAAACAGACAATGTAGACATTGTCACAGTAGTTGTTCATGATAGGAAACAAGACGAATGCTTTGTACACGAAAAAATATGAATTAATTTAATTAAATACATATATTTGCATATTTAAACAGAAACCTCGGATGAAAATGAGATGCGGAATTTTCCTGCCGTTTTTACTTTCTTCACTTCTTCAAATGACATGCGGTAGATAGCGATACTCTCTAAAACCTATTGTTTATAATATTAAAATTTAATTTCTGGTTCAAGAGAGTATTTTATTTGGTGTTTTACAAATCTCAATTTATATTGAAGAGTAAAGTTTTTTATTCACTTTCAATTAACTATACTTTTTATGTAAGGTATTGGTTGAGATAAAAAAGCCAGTGTCGCGAGCGGGATTCGAACCCACGAACTGCGGCCAAATACGCCGCTGATTTACCACAGCTATCGTGACTTCGATCCTCTCGGACACCAACTTCCCATCTCAACCTACAACCTTTCGAATTTTCCCTCTTTTTGTCATTTCCAATTGTCGTGTAATCGGGATTCGATTCTCAGCGACTTATGAAGTGGCCACGGGGAGTTGTTAGTGAAGTGATGCTTCTTTTATTTATTAAATATTAATCCATTTATGTTTTAGTGGTCTAATGTTACTTCTTTTAATTAACTATACTTTTTATGTAAGGTCTTGGTTGAGATAAAAAAATCCAGTGTCACGAGCGGGATTCGATGGAGTGTTGGTTTCCTGGAGGATCAAAGTCACGATAGCTCAAGTGGTACAGCAGCGGCGTATTAGCCAAAGGTCATGGGTTCGAATCCCGCTCGTGACATGACTTTTTTATCTCAACCAAAACCTGCTTAAAAAGAATAATTAATTGAAAGAAGTAACATGGTCAATTGACCATTAAAATATAAATGGCTTATTAAAAACGATAAGTAGAAATGATAAATGGTGGAGTGAGTGTGTTGTTCAATATTTTTAAAAAGATAGTTCCTACTCACAGAAAGTTGTTTTCAATGATGCGGATTTCGACCCCCAAAGCTCATCATCACGTTGAAGGAGGTCAGCTCAGAAATTCAAAGCTCCTTCAACTTGATGATGAGTTGTAGGCTCGAAATCCGGATCGTTGAAAAAAAACTTACTGTGAGTAGGAACTATCTTTTTAAAAAGAAGTTTAAACCTTTTATGCAACGCCCGGATTTGGAGCGTAGTAATACAACACATTATCCCGCCGGCGTATACAATATGGTGTCTGTTTCTTCATCTTAGTGCATAACCTACAAATGAGGTATCATTGAATATACTCATGTTGTGTAGATGTTTTCTCAAATGCCAGTGACCGGGAAGAAGTCCTATCACTCCTGTAGCAGTGAGTTTGCTTGTCTGTTTCAGTCTATTTTAGCATAAGCTTAGTGTATCTAACACTTCTAGAGTTTATACACTTCTCCTGTTGCCTTTTTTGGACCCATTTTATGATGAAAGATTCAATGTTTGTTTTTGCTATCCCAAGAGTTCAAGGCCTATTATGGTCTTGCAGATCCGTTACGCAAAATTCCCTTATTCGATTAGTTATCAGTACTCCAATGAAAAATTTACGTCACAGGCGGGATTCGAACCTACGATCTTCGGATCAATCCGATGCTATAAACAATTATCTAACCTCTAATTTTGAATGAATTTGAATTACATTTTTTGAAAATAAAAATTTAACTCCCCCCTTGATAACCACTACGGGAACTAGAAGTCAGAACTGGGCCTTAATAAAGAGACGGGCAGAAACAAACAGCCAATCCCGACCGGCTCTTCATTTTTTATCCTTTCTCGAGAGGGAAAACGGCGTGAAGATTATACACAACCCGATGCCGCGTCGAAAACACTCTCGTTTATTTAGAAAAATATTTTCATTCGCCATTTGAAAAAGGCGGATTTTTTTGTGGAGTGCTTCAATAAAATTCTACGATTGGCTTTAATATGTGTATCATTTTTTTATTTCAGGAGGACGTTCACGCTGAGAGAATAATAAAAAAATGCTTCTGTAAATAGAGTAAGTAAACCTTTACATTTAATTATATTTATAGATACAAATATATGCGAGTAACTTTGTTCTTGGGCAAATAGATTTTTTTAATATCCCGTTAATTTACAATACTTTTCCTCTCAAAAATTTTTAACATTTTGTCACGTGATCCCATTAGTCTGGGGAACTGCTGACGCGTCATGCTCCCGCGGTCAGTTGAGAGCGCACGACCCGGAACGAGAAGTTTAATTGCGAGTATCCTTAAAGTTGGATGATTTTGAGCAGTGAACATACATTGTTTGAGATATATGTTTTACTGTTGTAATTTCAAAAAGGGATTGAATTAGACATTTTTATTTAGCTGTTGGCACATAAAAATGTTTTGTTATCAAACGAAACTTCAACATTCATTGGTAGTTGGGGTGTTCGAATGGATCGAAGTCACGATAGCTCAAGTGCTTAAAGCAGCGGCGTATTGAGTCGAAGATCGTGGGTTCGAATCCCCCTCGTGAACTGACTGTTTTATCTCAACCAAGACCTTGCATAGAAAGAATAATTAATTGAAATAATCCGTTATAGTTATAGGGTTAAATAAGTGTTTACGCTTGTTCCTCTATGTTGTTGACAAATAAATGTTTTACTGCTTGTTCACTGAGGAATTTTCCCTTAAACGCCGATTTTACTTACACTATGGATTCAGAGATAATTTAAACCTATTTAATCAAATAAAAACAACAAAATGGGTCAATAATATGCTTATGTCCTTACACCACTATTGATGAGGACCGGAATAAAGTAACTTGGGTACTTTCTTTTTAAATTAATGGTCAAAATTGGAAGACTTTTGGACTAAAAAAATAGCTGAAAGAGGTCACTTAAAATGTCTTCTGTAATAAGCAATAACATTAGTGATACCAAATACGATAAAAATGTATTGGAAAATGCTGTGAGGCGAAGTACTCGTCAATACCGCCCCTGTTCAATTACCAGTTCGTCTCCAGTCATACTCGTCCTCCCTTGGAGGAGGTCTGTCTGACGACACAAATAATCATCCAATTTAGGGCGTATCTGCTGGTAACATCACAGATGAAAACAACATGGTGTCATGGTACCTGTTAAGCATTTTTTTTTATTTTATCACAGGAACTGGTTTTTGCATTAAAAATTAAGAAACCAAGAGCTTATGAAACTGCGTTTTACGTGGCTTGCAAAAATGGCCAGTTAGTGTGATGATTTTGGTTATGGGGAAACCTGCCCAACCATGCGCACCTGACAAGCTAAACCAGCGAGAATAGGCGGACCAGGAAAATCGAAGACAATCCATTTAAATTGTTTAAATTTGTTATTCTACTTTGTTTAACCTATTTTATAAACTATCACCAATCTCACCATAGACGAGCTTATTTATTGCCATAAATACTTAAAACTGTAAAGGTAGACATATATGCTCTCTTCCTTGAACCTTACAATTGTATTTTATTAATATTTATCAACGTATCAGTTTGTTAAATCATTAAATCGTTAAAATTATATTTTGTAGTTCGATTGACCAGATAACTTCTTTCAATTAATTAATCTTTATGTAATGCATTGGTTGAGATAAAAAGTCAGTGCCACGAGCGGGATTCGAACACACGACCTTCGGCTCAATACGGCGCTGCTCTTACCTGTCCGAGTGGATCGAAGTCACGATATCTCAAGTGGTAGAGCAGCGGCGTATTTAGCCGAAGGTCGTGGGTTCGAATCCCGCTCGTAATACTGACTTTTTTAACTCAACCAATACCTTACATACCAGTTTGTGTTTAATTGATTAACCTTAACTGAGATTCTTTAGAAAGAAAGTAATCAGTACCATAAAAATATGGTTACTCGATTTCTATCTTTCGAAAGCGTTAGATAAAAATATTAACATATTCAAAATATATAAAAAAACAGCCCTACGTTACAATTCAAAAGCCAGTAAACTTTTTATAATTTGCTTTATAATTGGCTGGTGGGATGGAAAAATCGAGCTCATTGTTTTCTAAACGTTGCCAAAGTGAAGAATGCTTTTCTAAGCAATTTCATCGTTAATATGATTAAAATATAATTAAACATTTAAAACAGTGAGTAAGCATTTTAGAATAATTTAATCTTTTAAAAGCATGTTTTAACTTATATATGTAAATATGTGTTTAGATCGGTAGGTTTGCAATCAAATAAACGTTTATAAGACAGAGTGAAACGATTTATTTATGAGCCACGTATATTACTTCTTTTTATTAAATATTTCGATTCCATATATGTGAAGGTTGTTGTACAAAAGTATTTTGTTTTTGAATATTAAATTCTTTTACCCACGATCCCATTCTTCACAATGTCATCATGGCCCTTTTTTGTTTTATTGAAATTTTTCCCTCAACTCGTTCATCAAGTTTTCATGTCACATTTTGTATTTTCATAAATAGTCCACTTTTTTTTACATTGATAGACTGGTTTCTGTTTGTTTTGGTTTGTTTTTCATTGTATAATAACTCTGTGTCAAATTGATCAATGTTTGAACTTCGCTAATGGTCCTTTCTGGTCAATTTATAACGGGTATCTAATTTAAGCTTAAGAAAGCATGTTTGGTCAATTAATCGTGAAGCATCCGGTAAGTATCAGTAACAATATTGATACGCCCTTCCCATAAGGATAAATATAGACTTACTAATCTATTATTGTTTATTAAAACTTTACGTTAAACTTTACAGTTAATACAACTCAATAGATATTATACAAAAGAAAAACGAAAACAAAAGTATGTAGGCAAAATATAGATAACAGTAAAATATCAATAAATACTTAAGATATTTTCCCAGCTGAGAGATGCTGTAGAATTGAAAGTTGACTGATTCATTGTTAGTTCTAATTTTATTATCGGTTTTGCAGAATAAATATATTAAAAGAAAAATAAGGATCTCTGAGCAACCGATATTGAAAGGAGTTTAAAGAAAACTTCCTAAGTTGGAGATCCGGATAGGGATGAGCATCGATGTTCGATGTTTAGAAAACATAAATGGTAGGCGACCCATGTTCGTTGTTTTCAACATCGATGTTACTGTGTCGATGTTTTTGACCAACGATGGTGGGCTGTCGATGTTTTATAAACTGTTTAGTTTTTCCTAATTTCCACTTTTGTGAATAGGGACTGGCCCATATTCTTCTGACATGAAAGTGAGCTATCAGAACCTGTCAGGAGTTGTTCAATTTGTTGCCTTAGTGGCACATCTGTTCCGTCTGAATGATTATTTTCCAAAAAGCTGGACAGATTATTTCGAAAACCAGAAATCGCTTAGAGGATAAATTGGCTTTCAAGTTTGTTTGTTGTTTTTTTGTTTTTTTAATTGCGTTCCGGAGAAGATGTGGTAGTGTTTCATTGTAAAATTTGAATACATTAATTCTAATAAATTAAGGATATGGTTGATTTTAGTTACGTAGATGTTAAACTTTTACCTTTTTTCGAGCAAGAGACAGGAATTGGGCTTGGGTGGATTATGGACGTTTTCCAAATTATCGAAGAAAAACAAGGAAGTATTTTGAATAAATACTTAAATAATACTTAATAATACTTTAACAATAGACGTCTTTTATTTAAAAGGGACCGAGAGATCGATATATAACTATAAATGAAACCAAATGCAAACACAAATCCTAATAAATGTTATTAAAAAAATAAACATAATTTTGATTAATCAAGTTCTTAACAAAGTTATTCAGAACTCGTGAGATGCGGTCTGGTGTGATGTAGGTTTGAGAAAAACATTTTCTTTATCGTGCCAACGTTTCGATCTTTATTGAGATCATCTTCAAGGCTCAAAGTGTTTGTCTTCTGTGTAATTGTGCCATTCTTGCGTGTCGTGTTGAGACACTTTGAGCCCTGAAGATGATCTCAATAAAGATCGAAACGTTGGCACGATAAAGAAAATGTTTTTCTGAAACCTACATCACACCAGACCGCATCTCACGAGTTCTGAATAATTATCGATTAACGGTCACTAATCACCACGCATTCCTAACAAAGGTTCAGAAATAGGAAGTTCGAAAAATTAGCTTATGTTTCTAAAGTGGCACATAAAAATAATGTATGCATACGAAAATAATTTGTGGTTTGAGTATTCAAAAAATATCGATGTATAGACTGTAGAGGCGATGGGGAGGGCCCGATGTTTAATCGATGGTGACCTTCGATGTTTTTTTATCGATGCTTATCCCTCGATCCGGAACATGTTTCTCTTTCCCCAATCCACAGACAAGCAGAGGTAGTCACAAACGAAATGAAGACGTGGTTTGGTGTTAGGTCACTTATTCTACAAATTTCCTCAGGACTTAAAAACGATTTAAGGCTTTTGATATGCTGAGCGGTTTTTCAATTCGGCTAATCTTATCTCACGGATGAATCTCTTTTTGAATAGGTAGTCAGAATCACATAAATTCACATAAATCTTTGTGATAGTCCTGCCTGCAAATGTAAGGAAAAATTGGTTCTAAGAAGAATTTGTAAGTTGTCTTCCTCCTCTCATAAGCACAGTAAACACCCTTTTTTCCTTAAATGGTAAGAGCATTACTTATTCCACATGAAAGCATATTTTAATGTGTGGTGTTTAGTAACCATTAGTTGATGATTATTTGGAGATCGTGAGATGCGGTCTGGTGTGACGTAAGTTTAGAAAAACATTTTCATTATCGTGCCAACGTTTCGATCTTTATTGAGATCATCTTCAGGGCCTGGTATTTACAAACATGGTTTAAATTACATTTATACTATTATACTGAATTATACTGAAGATGATCTCAATAAAGATCAAAACGTTGGCACAATAAAGAAAAGGTTTTTCTAAACATCACACCAGACCGCATCTCACGATCTCCAAATAAGCATATTTTAATTTTGACAAAAGATTTTTCAGTTGATGAATCCAGTTATATTTCGTATTTTTTAACTGGCCCCATTTAAACAGTTTTGGAAGGCGAATTTTCTCCATTTGCACTAATTTTTCTCATAAATTTGAAGGTTTTTTTGTATATTCCACAAAACGTATTACATGTTTTCAAAATAATATGTCTTTTTATACAATAAAGTATAAACCATCCCTAACCAATAAAGTAAAATAGTTCTCAAGAAAATGTATATAAATTAAGTTTTTTTTATTAATGAAATGAAAAGTCTAATATTGTTAGTTTGTAAGACAACACCAATAACTCATAACAAGTTGCTTGAAATCGATATCGTTGACAAATCTTTAGAAGTGCTGAAACTTGTCATTCAGCAGGTGGGTTGGTGTCCAGGTGGCCAATGTTTCCCAAGGACAGCTACATGGCGAATAAGGGGTGCTTTATTAGATTCAGTTGGGGCAGTGGTATAAGATGTGTTCCACTGTTTGATTCCTTCCATTTCACACGTGCACGATGCACTTGGTAATATTTTAAACCTATGTATCATCCTCCCATGACCGCTTAGTATCTAGGACAACCTTGGCTCATCCGAGTCCTTTGCCTAATGTCCAGGAAAATTGCCCAGTGTGTAATCCTTTTTCTGACTGCCCTCCACTAGGTCATCAAGAAACGATCGTTCATTTCTCCATTAAACGTAAAAACTTTTGGAGAAGATTAAATAAAAATTCAACAAGTGTTACTGCCCGGGCTCTCTAAATGACAATTAACCATTGAACACGACGTGCTATATTCTTCGAAGAGAAATCAGTCGTTTCAAAACGAAATAAATTTAATTTTAACTCGCTAACCGTCGTTAAAAATTTTAAATGTAAAAGCAATATGCTCAGATTCTACTAAAAGAATTGAAACAATCCTTCATGGCATTTCATACATCGAATAGTTTGATTTTCAAAGCTTGCCTTGAAAAAGGTCGTCCCTTTATTTTACACAAAATTATAAATGCCATAAAGTTTCTAGTTTGAATCAGTCTTTTGCATTAAAATGCATCCTTTCCCTTCTCCATTTGGCCCATCCAACGCCGTTCCTTGAGATGGAAATGGACCTGCCGTTTGGCGAGATTGACTGACTAAAAATGAAAAAAAAAATATATTACTCTGTCGAAGCCCTACTTGCAAAAAGGGTGATGGGATTCGGCATTTCGACGGGCAGAGAAATGGAATGATGACATCAAGGAAACCTCTGATCCTACTTGGTAATCAACTACCCTACATAGAGATAAATGGGAAATGCTGATGGAGGCTGCGCGACTGCAATATTTTAGTGGTATCCGATCAGATGAAATATCCGTCCGTCTTTGATGGTTCAGAACATTTGAGCAAAGCATCACTATTTGAGGTGAACTTTTTAAAAATCTCACCTTTCCCCACGTAAACAGTCCACAACTTGTTTATTGACTTTGTCTTTAGGTTGTAAAGCGGGTTAGCGACGAACTTTAATTAAAAAATATTCCGAGCCCTTGCAGCGTAAAAGGAACCAGCAAATCTCATATTTTCTGGTTTTTAACCATTGTTATTAATTTGAAAAAACGTTAAATATTCTACAGAAAACAAATAATTAAATTTGTAAAACAAGGAATAATTTAAAATGTTAATTGTTCAATTTTAAACTGGTAATTGTAAACTTGTTTAAACTGTTAAACAACATTCAACAGAATGGTAGAGGAAAACGTTAACCCTGCTGTTATGATAAAGGGTGAACGGAAGTAGGATAAACATGTGTGAACGTGAAGTGATTTATTTTTCGTTAAATAACTCATGTTGCTTGAACATTTTTGTTACGGGGATTGCTTTGTCATGCTTGGACAGTCGTTTCCTCTCGTCGAAGCGTTTTTCCAGAAAATAAAGATGGTAAAGCCTTGTCGGGTATTTGAACCAATAGAACATATTGTAGAAGAGTCGTACAAAACAGCAAAACTTAATTAAACCGCCCTAATGAAAAGGAATCGACATCAAGTAGTAAGCTTAACCTTGGGGGTCAATTTAGTTGAAAAGGTTAAAATCGGTATATTGGTTCGGCCTTCTTACCTCAACCATCAAATAAACGCTTAACACTTAAAACATGTCCTTTTGTGTGTTCGTACGATTGTTTATTCTAATGATATTTTTTATTGGTTTCAGAAGGAGATTTATGCGGTGATGAACGTCTCGGGGCTTAACGAGCCGTACTGCGGCTCGGCGTTCGCTGAGATCAACGCGTTTTACCGCCCTGTGCATGGTTACGTGAGCCTCATCGTCTGTATATTTGGATGTGTGGCCAACCTGCTCAACATCGTGGTTCTTACGAGAAGAGAGATGTCGTCTCCGACTAACGCGATTTTAACCGGCCTCGCCGTCGCCGACCTTCTAGTCATGCTGGAGTACATACCGTTCACGTGGCACATGTACTTGAGGAAAAGCAGACACACGCATTACACGTACGGGTGGGGCGTTTTCGTTCTGGCGCACTCCCATTTCGCTCAAGTGTGCCACACGATATCCATCTGGCTGACTGTTACCCTGGCCGTGTGGAGGTACATAGCCGTAGCTTATCCCCAGAGGAACCGCGACTGGTGCGGGATGCAGAGGACCGTGATGGCCATCGCTTTCGGATACATCATCAGCCCGATTCTAAACATACCCTTGTTCTTGGCTTTCGACATTCAGCCAAGGGTGATCAGAGTCAACGAATACGGTATGACGCAGACGAAAAACAGTTCGAACGTCCACAACCAAACGATATACGTGGTAAACGTGAGCGAGCTCGGTGCTGCGAACGATAACTTACTTGCAGACATAAATTTTTGGGTGTACAGCGTAGTCATAAAAATAATACCGTGCATAGCATTGACAACGTTAAGCGGGGGTCTCATATGCGCTCTAATGGAAGCGAAAAGACGAAGAGACGCCTTGACCTCCGGTTCGCGCAAAACACCTAGAAACATCGAGAACGAAAGGCAAACCGACCGAACGACGAGAATGCTCCTTGCTGTCTTACTACTTTTTCTCATAACGGAACTTCCCCAGGGGATCCTCGGCCTAATGAGCATCCTTCTGGGAAAGCGGTTTTTCGAAGAGTGCTACAACAAGCTCGGCGACATGATGGACATCCTCGCCCTCATCAACTCGGCCATCAACTTCATGATCTACTGCGCCATGAGCCGACAGTTCAGGACCACTTTCAGCCTGCTTTTCCGTCCGAGGTGGCTTCCGGTACCACAGGTCGACAACGGCAACAATCACAATCACACGACAACAATGGTCACCCAAGTCTAGCGAAAGGGGTCGAGGAGGCCCATTACCCATATCTAAATATAGCCTCCCGTTCAGCAAGGGGTCCGGATTATCCGCTAAATCCATCTTAATAGAATCCACCGAGTGATATCGGGCCGGACTGACAATGAGCCGAATCCACCAGGCGGCCCGTGATTAGGTCTCTCGTGAAGTCCACTCGGCCTAAAACACATCTCAAACCCGACTCTAAACGACAACGCAAATCTACAAATGTCCGATTCGAATTCTGGAATATATTTGAAACGAATAGCCTTCGAACATTGTTTAATTTCTGCCTACTTTGTTACCATAGTGTCGTCAATCGTTACCTAATGCGAGGCTGTGGTTTTCATGTTAATCGATGTCGAGTAATGTATCAGTTGTAAATAATAACACTTTGTCGCATTACGATAGTATTAAATAGCCACGCTGTAAATATCGCTCTAGGTGTCTTCTATACGTGCTATATTTATCGGTTGTATTAATAGTAGCATATTTTTATAAGTAGTGTATTTAATGATAGGACAAAGGCCGTGGTGTATACCATTTGAGCCCATGGTAGCCACCACCGTCTATAGAATAAACCATTACAAAAATGTATGTGATTGATTATTGTAATAAATCTAGATTTATCATGTTGTATATTATCAATTTTGACAAAAATTTCCCAATCCTCCTGAAAATGATTCAAGCAGGTATCAGTTATCATCAATTGGATTTTTTATTATTAGATCTGGCCAAGAGCATATAACCAGTACATGATAATTTATGCAAGTTGTAATTAATTAATTATAAATATTTGACAATGATTAATACTGATAGATATAAAAGTACGTCCTGGGGGCCCTGCATTATTAACACCGGCACCCTGAGGGTTCGGACAACCTCGTAATTGAAATAACCTCATTCCAAAAAAAATGCCACAGGTAAGTAAATAGGGTCTAAGAAATACATAGAATAAAAATTCATTTCCTTCTATAAAAAATCATTTCCTTGTTTAAAGAAAGACGATACTATCACTATCGCCTACAATTTATTTGCGTTGGCTAGTAATGTTGATGATGTTGAGTAAGGCTAGTAACGACGTCTATTTTCGACGCGATTAAAAATATCTATTTTCGATTTATTATTGAAGTCTGTAAAACTTTCATCTAAAAAAAATTTTTTTTCCAATTGTATAGACAAAGGTCGTGGGTTCGAATCCTGCTCGTGACACTAGGTTTTTCAATTTTTCAATTCAACCAAAACCTTACATAAAAATGTTAATTAATTGAAAGAAGTAATTGGTCAATCAGACCACTAAATATAATGGATGTATAGGCAAACTTAACGGTAAAATGCAAAGAAGAAGTAAATCGGTCAATCGGTTGGAATGAAATCCACGACCTTTCATTCATTTCAGTTTCCGCTTTACAGGGAGGACGAACTGATGTAAATTGAAAAAGTTTGAAAAAGTCTTTGATTCTTTAAATTTAAAAAATAGAAAAAAAAATTTTTCGTGCAGCTGAAAACGCTACAATATTCCTTCCGGACTTTGAATTGCCTTAATTGTTCAGTTTAAATCACAAAACTTACTTCTGGATTTCAAAGATAAACGAAACAATAAAATAGTTTTAATATAAAAAAAATTTAGCAGGTTTGCGAAGGGATCCTTTGACCTCCGGATAATACAAAATAAAGAACTTACTCAAGAGTTTCATCTCACTCCACATGAAAAATCAAGCCCCGTCTAATCTGAGGTCGAATTGTCCCTTATTGCTTTTAACCGTCCTAGTCGAGCTTCTTCTTGCCTGTGTGTAAAGGCGACCCAATGACCACAACCACAGCTAATAGTTGTCACGAGTTCTTATGTGTTTCTACATATAAATCCACTTATGTACACACCCTAATTCGTGTAACCGTAGCAAATTGCGTTTTGTCCTAGAAACTTAACACATTTAATTTGTCGTTAAAATTAGCTTTATAACGTTTTTATGCCTTATATAAAATTTATTATAAAACTATAAATATTTTTGAATATTACGCAAGTTTTTGTGTTATTTTTCATTTACTGTTGGGAGGAGGGGTCTTTCTAATTGAAGAGACAAATCTCCTTATCCGGTACGATAGATGCCGGTTTATAGCCGATCTGATAGGGTTTCCACTTTTGTAATCGGTGGGAGGATGAGGATGATCTGAGAGGTAGTGGAGAAAAGATATGACAAATTAAAATGAAAATTAATAAATAAGTGTTAATGAAATTAATATTGAAAAGGACAAACAATTTATTAATCCTTTGAAAATTATCTGACGCAACGTAATATTATCGTTAGACGTGAGAGTACAAATTAAATTAAATAAAAATAACATGCAATATCTTCTGCTGAATAAAACACTCAAATTAAAATAACAAATTGATACAATCAAACAAAATAATAAGTAAATTGTAATAAATTAAATTCTAACTTGAAAATCAAAATATTGCTATCGATTGAATAACAAAGTTGGTCACGAAAATACCGGATCCGGAAAATCTTAAATCAGATTTGACTTTAGTCGATTTTATCGAAGGTGAATAGAAATTAACAAAATAAGGGTTAACTCTTAAAATTTGGTAACAAAACTAAACAAAATAATCGAAAATAAGGGGGTGAATAATATGAAATGAATAATTGTTCCTTAAATGCACATTTGAGGTGAGAGAAAAAAAATGATTAAGCAAGCTTGCATGCAAATTGTAACGAAAGTATAAATACAAATTTTGAAGTCCGATGTCGATGTTCACGTTGATGGATCGATGAACGAAGGAGGTTCGAAGTCCCTGCGGTGGATTTTCGGATGTCCGGTGAGCGAAGATCGACGAAGTCCTGCTTCTGCTGGTCGCGCAGCGAAATTTTCTGGCCGTGATTCCCACGATTTTGGCTGGTCGAGCACAGGCGATACCAATTACTCGGGACGACGATTTCCCCGAGTGTCGATAAAGTTCTCCCTTTTTTTCTTCGAAGACAAACGAACGAAACGATGACGAAAAAGAAGGGTGAAGCCGAAAAAACAAACAAAAAAATGGAGTTGCACTGGTCAAGGCCTGAGAACCGAATGAACCCACCGCAGCGGAGTGTTATTGTTGTTCGAAGGCGGATTACCTCGGTCAACAACTGGCCTGCGTTATCTATTTCTCTACGCCCAACGATAAATTTAAATTTATTAACGAAACTCATTTTACACTTCTAAAAGGTTCAAAACAGTCGGAAAAGGGAAAAGGAAAATAAAAGGAAATCATAAAGGAAACATTTTCCCGAAGGTCTAGTATTCTCAAATATTGGGCAAAATGCACGAGCTCAAACATTTACTATACCTAAATTAAAACATCATTAGTTTATAAGCTCATAATAGCCTAACCACTCATGTTGCCACAAAAATTAAAGGTTATATTATGATTGAACTCTTCTTAATACTTTCCAAACAAGCCATAAATTATAATAAATTTATCACTTGTACTGTATGTTGTTAAACAAGGTACTGCAGCATGGATTTTTCTTTATTACCAAAACGTTTTCGACGTCATGATATGAGTCCTCTTCAGTGTTAATTACATTTGTATATCCAGTGGACTTCCCAACATCCTTTTGAAAAGGTTTATTGGAAAGTCCACTGGATATACAAAGTAAATAATACTTAAGAGGACTCATGTCATAATGTCGAAAACTTTCTGGTAATAAAGAAAATTACATGCTACAGTACATTGTTCAACAACCTACAGTACAAGTGATAGAATTGTAGAGTAAACAGCAAAATATTTTAAATATTATTTAAATTTCATTATCGTTTATTGTCAGACCTTTTGTTCTTTTGAGCATTCATCTACAACAAGTTTCAGTGAGTAATTTTTCAATATATATACTATTTATCTTATTTTCAATTTTTTTTAAATAGTAACGATTTTCCTTCTGTTATGTCATTGCAGGCCTCTCCTTTTTGCCGAAGACGTAAAAATATTAAGAACAATAAAATTGCCGGTAGACTGACTGCTTCAATCTGACTTAAATTCACTTCATCTCGTGTCCGTTGAAAACAATTTAATACTAAATGCAATTAATTATTCTTTTTATGTAAGTATGAAAAAGTTAGTGGCACGAGCTGGATTCGAGCCTACGATCTTCGGCTTAATACGCCGCTGCTCTGCCACTTGAGCTATCGTGGGTTCGAATCCCGCTCGTGACACTTACTTTTTCATTTCAACCAAGACCTTACATAAAAAGATTATTTAAAATATGTATATTTTCGTAGCTAACAAATTTAATTAACATTAAGGTTCTTATATGAAAACCTTTTTATATATCTTATCCAAGTAATCTAATCTATTTATTAAAGAAAGTTGGCATGTTCATCATGCTATCCCTGACCATTTTGCTACATCTTCTTGAATGCCTATCTAATCGTCTCGAAAATGCTGATTTGAAATTGGTCGACGTAATTGCTTGCTTTGTCGACGTAATCTTTGGAATGTATTTCTTGTTGCTGGCTTACTAGGCGGTAAAATATAATCGTGATTAATCCAAGAAATCACTACTGCTTCTGCTTTGGACGATGACCCGCCTTTTTCACCTTATTTCAAAAGGTCAACGCTCAACTATATCGAATAACAAGACTACCTCCCGACGCACTTTCTCTAACAATAAGGCGGCTGTTTGCCGCCACTCGATATCATTATTTTCGCATCCGCGAAACCCATAGTTTAAGTTTGTTAACACGAACTTTGTCTTTGTTTCGGCTGCTTCAACAACAGGCATCTTGAAGACAATAAACAACGTCGCCCTTTTTTTTCTCAAAAGGAAAACTGTTTGGAAATGGGACATATTTCCGTCTCGCGCTATCCTCATTCACGAAAACTCTAGATCAATTATGGTATAACGTTTACAGTCCTTGGAAATGTTAGGACGATCATCAAGGAAATTTGAGATGGCATGTAAAAAAATTAAATATTTCAATCTACAAAAATATTAATTTATAACTATTAAAGATTAATCATTTTACGTAAGATTTTGGTTGAAATGAAAAAGTTAGTGTCACGAGCGGGATTCGAACCCACGACTTTTGGCTCAATACGCCGCTGCTCTAACCACTGGAGCCACGATAGCGGTTAGAGCAGCGGCGTATTGAGCCAAAGGTCGTGAGGTCGAATCCCTCTCGTAACACTAACTTTTTATTTTCAACCAAAACCTTACGTAAAAAGATTAATTAATTGAAAGAAGTGATTTGGTCAATAGACCACTAAATATAATGATATTTAAGATTGTTTTCCCCTAATGATGACCATAAAATAAGTCGGAAGCTTGGCAATAACAACCGAATTTGCTTTTTTCTTCAAGACCGTACCATCGAGAGTGTTCGAGAGTGAAAAGGTGGTCGATACTTCAACAATGAAAACAGTTATCTTCATTGCATGGTCCGACTGGCCCATATTTGATAAATGTTTGCAAAGTTTATAAATATTTCCCCTGTTGTTGGAAAAACCGCTTTGGTAGTATTTATTATTCTTATTTAGTTTTAATTCTGGGGTCCATTTTGATTTGAAACGTCCCTCATCTCTACTGAGTAACTAGATTTAATGTCAGTTGACTATTCTTTCAAAATTTAAGCACTTTTCTTGATAGTACGGGTGT